CCTTTCTCATATGTGATCAACAGTAGGTTGTATTTTTGACCCAACCAAAATGATAAAATTAAAGAAGGCTGTGGGTTGCAAAGAGGAAATGTTCTAACATTCCCTTCTTCTCATAGACCCTAAGTCAATAGAACTGGGTGAGTCCTTCAGAGTAGTGGCGTTCCCACCAGCAATGGAGGAACTCTAAGAGGAAGGCATAGAGACATGCATATGAAAGGATAAAGGAGATAGGAAGTAAAGTTTGTTCTGGCCACAGATATATGGGTAAGTAAGGGCATGTAGAATTGAGTATAGGATCATAAATCTTAGAGCTGGAGGAAACTACAAAAGAACACCTGGTCCAACCCTCTTGCTTTTACTAAGGAAGGTATTATTATCCCCATTTTACAGATGGGATATATTTCTTGAATATAAAAAAGGGGAAAATGAAAATAAGCTGCCACAACATCTTGGTAATGCAACCAAGGAAGACTGATTCCACTGATGTCAACTACTCTTAAGCCAAAGCTCCTTAATGTAATTTTTTTTTTAACCTGGCTTACATGGGCCATATACCACAAGTTTTAAAACCTATAGTTTCCTGCTTTCTTTACCCTCTAGTTATTCATTCCACTCTCCTCTGTACCTTCAAAGACTGAAGAAGAACACCTCTCCTGTTATTTGCCTGCCTGGGAGTACAATAAGAAGCCAATCCAGTTCCTCCACACTTTTTAATCCTCCTGTCATCCAAAGTCAAACTCACTCTGTTCAAGTATGGCAGACAAATTGTTAGAACCCCATTTCTTCTGGATGGCATTCTCACTGAAGTCACTGGTCTAAAACTATAGTCTTGTACTGTCTTATGGGGACAAAATCTAAATTCGGGGGTAAATTATCAATGAATTATTCTTATTTTTCATTGTTTCTAGCCATGTGACCCCTGGCTATGGTCTGATTCGTTCTTTCAAACTAATTACAATTAAGCTGAGTCACCCATATTAATGATGATGAAGACGAGGAGAAGAAAAACAATAATGATATAATGACAAACATTTGCATAGCTCTTTCAGATTTGCAAAGTACTTTGCTTATTTTAGCTCATTCAGTCTTCACAATAACCTTGTAAAGAAGGTGCTATTGTCATCCCATTCTTATAAAGGAGGAAACTGAGGCCATGAGAAGTGACTTGCCCAGGGTCACACAATTTGTGAGTTGTGAGAATCAGAATTCTATCTAAGTGATGATTCAAACCTAGGTTTTCCTAACTCCAAATGAGACACTGTCCACTGCACCACCTAAAATTACCTAGAAGGGAAACTTCTGGGGAAGAGCCCTAGAGACCCACAGAAAGTGACCACAGTCAATCCCTGACATTCCCTTCCCTTTCTTCTGCTCCACTCTGATCAACATGTTTCAGAATCATGGCAATAGAAAGGCAAACTAGAGAACAAAGAAATGTGTGGTCAGACGTTCTGCTCCTAAAACCTAGAGCTCAGGTTTCAGTGGCTGGACATTCTCAACATACCCCACCCTGTGCTTCCTATTTGAGGTAAGACTGAGGCTTTCCCAATCTGCTCTAGTCCCAAATTGAACACTTCCATTGTAAATAACCAGATGGTGGAAACTTACTTTGGGGCAGACCCTGGCTTCTAGGCTAAACAAACAACCAGTCCTGCCCTTAGAACTGTATGCCTCTTATTGATGGCTGAAATGATACTTCTCAGCATTGGGTGATGACCTCCTATGATAGAGGAGGTGTGACATGTTGATCTAAACGGTATTTTATAGCACCTTAGGGCCTTGATAAAGGGGATGTTCTGGAAAGAGACAAGCTGTGCTTACATTATGCCAAACACGTGTATGAGAATTTTAAAACGCAGCTCTCAAATTTCCAAATATCCTGAGATATGGTGTCAGGTCAGACATTGAGCTTTCTGACCACATTTTTCAGTTTGAATCCAGCACCATGTAGATGAAACCTTGAGATAATGATGTTACTCAAGGCTACCCTGAGTTTTCTGACAAGTTAATACATCATTATTAGGGTTATTTCTGCACAAACCATATATCTGCAAAGAGATACCTACACCATGCATAGGTTTTAATTGCTTTCTGAGGCAGTCAGGTTTGATTAAGTTTTTGGAAGAGTGGTGTCTGTATGTGCATGCAAAAACGAAGACACACATACTTATGCCCACACAGAAAATCAGAGAGCAATGTGCTATTTTAAGAGTCCAAGCTGTATCTTTCACCAAAGTTTAACTGCTTTCATTTTGCAAATGCATTTAATTTTATCTGGAAACTTTTTGACATTAGAAATAGAACAACTGTAGTTTCTCATTATGTTGGCTGCCAGAAACTATGCTTGGTTGCTCAACTAAAGACCTTATATTGCTAATTACTACCACATGCCCATATCCCAAGCGAAGGAAAACTTATTGGTTCTGACAGCCCATTCTCTCAACACTGAATTCCAAACGCAAACTCAAATTTTGGCCAAACATAACATTTCATCAATCTTGTTCTCCTGACTGGAAAAAACAACATCAAACGAGGGGTGCTAATGGCCCTTTATGACTGTGCCTTTCCCAAGCTTATATTTTCTGATGAAAGATCTAAGTGACCAAAGGGCTTCTTTAAACTACTTAGTAATTAGCTTTTGAACCAGGAAACAATGCGTAAAGTAAATTGAACAGTCCTTGTGCTGATGACAGAACCAGCTCTCAGTCAATAGGATCTATGGGTGATGGCGACCGAGAAAGAATTTTACAAACAAAAGTACATATTAATAAAGGGGGAGTTTAAAAAGAAAAAAAGAGAGAAAACCAGTGATAAAAGATAATAAAGCAAAGTAAAAAGAGAAGCTGCAGGAAGTCTGGGATCTCAGGTTCTCATAGTTGGGGAGTTGGAAACAGAGTAAAGGTCAAAATTAAAAGTCAAGGAAACAGCAGAAGGCTGGTGATTGAAGGCTTGACTTCAGAGGTCTTTCTTGGGTTACTTAACAGCATAAGCCCATCTCTACCAAGGCCACCCAAATCTGGAGAGGGAGAGATATTTGGGGAAAGCATTCACCCTGAGCGAAAGTAGTTTACCTAGGTGTTGTTTTGGCTTTCTCTATGCATGTGTGTTGAGGGGTGGAGTGGAGCGATGGTTTGTGTGGATATATATGGCTGTTGTTTTGTGTCTGGGTGTGTTCTTAAAATATGCAATAGGGTCATGACTTATATTTAATCCTTTCTTATCTGACAAGGTCACAGGCAGGTTTGCGTCAACTTTACTAGTGTTCAATTGTGGAAGCAAAGTGGGGAATCCTATGAAGAGAATCCTAGGACTTTTTGGAGACCTTTTACTTGTGACTGAATACCAGTTGTACCAAGCTAGCAGAAGGGATGTTTCCTCTCAAGCCTGTGAAAGGGGGGACAGGGACATGGGGCTCTCTGGAACAATTTGGATACATCCAACAGCTTGGTTCCATTCCTATGCAGTACCATTAGGTCATCTGAATGGGAAGGTGGAAGAGTTGTGACTTCCAATGAAAAGATGCCAACTGGACTCCTCTCTAGTACATATACATATTTTTTTCCTTTGGAAAAGAAACAAGTCTCCTGGTGGCAGTTCAAGAAAATGAGCCATTTTCCACCATCTCATTTTCTGAATGGTAGACTAACCACTTGAGCTCAAAGAGGAAGGTAGGGTGAGGAGGAATCATGAAAAGGGGATGAGGCTTTCCAAGGTGATCCATTATGGTCCTGGTGACCCTGGCAAGCCATCATTAGAAATGTGAAGGAGCATTTATTTTGTTTCCTTGGGAAAATCCACCACAAACAGTTCATGGGAGACCTATTGAAGTCGTAATACCACTTCAGTGCAGAACAGTTATCCTACCAGATTCACTGTTTACTTATGAGGAAAGGGTTTTATTGACACTGGGCCAACATTTTGATATGTTGGTATAACCTACCCCCACTTCAGAATTCCCTTCAGAGCTAAGTACTTATGCACAAGGCCAAAGAATTCACCCAGAGTTCCATTTAGTACAAATGGCTTGAATTTAATGCTATCTCCTTAGTTCTGTCTCATCTAAGGGAAGCAGTTTCTTTGAAAACAGGATTTGCCTTTTTTTTCTGTATAGGTCAGTAAGGTCAAAAGTAAGTCCCACATGACAACCATTCCTACAAGTGATCACAACGATGAAAATAATTTTGTTCCACCTCTGGTATCACCTTCCAATTCTAGAATATGACTGCCTGTTATATCATGATTTCAACCTCATAAAATAAGACTGAAGAGAGAGGATAGAGTTTTCTTTGATTTTTTAGAACCAGAATTGCTTAACTAGGCTAGCTGATACTCAGAATGAGATTATCCAGATTATCTAAGAAGAATAGTACGGATATTCTCAGAAATGACCATTATAGCTATTATATATAATATAATACAATATATGATATGATATGATATGATATGATATGATACGATATGATATAATTAATATGATATAATTAACATAATATAATATAGCTATAGGTCAGTTGTGGATGAGTTCCATCATCTTCTTGGATGAGAGTAAAGGAAGTATATTGTGACTGGTGCCTTAGCATGGCCCAGGTCTTTAAACCAAGTATGACCGCTTTCTCATGGTGGGGGAGAGGAAAGGAAATAAAATCTGTCATCCCACTGCACAGTGTGTCCCCCTCCCTTTCCACCTGACTGAAACACTCAAGTGAAGGATGGGTTAGAGGAGTGTCAGGGCTCAGGTGTCATCTCCACAAGGGGGCACTAAAATCGCACAATCACACCTTTTTTCTTGATGAAACTGACTTACTTTCTGCCTCCATGTTTGTTAAAAGTCCCGCTGAATTTATTCCGGTTGAGGATGAGAGCAGCAATTTCGGGAACGTAGCGGGCAAACATTGCCTACATGCATGAAACAAAGAAACAAGAGGAAAAAAAAAAAAGAAAATGGCATGCAGAGAGGATTCTACTGCTCTGGCTGCAGTGAAGCCTCCTGGCATACTTACTTTCTTCCACTAACCGCACTATAGGAACCACCGTATTTCTTGCGGTTTCCTATTAACTCTATGATTTCAGGGACGTAGCTTGCAAACATGGCCTAAGGAAAAGATAGGAGACAGAAGAAAAGACTAAAAAGAGAGGTCAAAGAAAGGTGGGGTAGGGGGATTAAGATCTGAAAATGCAAGGAGTTTTTAAAAATGACCAAAAAAATCAAACAAAAAAGGGAAGCTCTTGAAAAAAAAACACAAAATGTTGACTTTCAGGAAGACTCAAACCCAGCAAAGTAAGACGTTTAAAGATGGGGGGACATCACATAAAGTAAAGTGGGAACAAAATAAAATCAAACTGCCATCTAGCTCTGCTTCCAAAGAGGGTTTGGGGGGGGGGGAAGCAAAGTTATGTGCTGTAAAAACTTTCTAAAAAAGTTATCTCTAAGCTTAAGAACCTTTTATTTGATAAAATTCAAAAGAGAACCAAAGTGGCCCTATGACACATTGAGAATAATAAACATCAGTTAAAAATTGTTTTTCAAATCTTTTAAAAACAATCAAAAGACATAAAAAGGGTTGTCAGAGATTACACGAGAGAAAAAAAGTAGCAAGGAGACGAACAAATCTGCCATGTTTTGTCCAACAAACAGTTAAATTGTGGCTGGATCGTGTTAGAACCTGCTGAACAACAGCTAGGTCATGTGACCTGTCAGGACTGTACATATGTTACAGGAATACAGGAAATATACACATGCACCTATTCATTTATATACATATTACAAATATATATGTCATATACATACAGTATAGAGAGATATGTATGCATATACAGAATTATAAATGTGTGTGCAGTGTATATAAGGGTCTGCTGGATGGGAATTAGGATTTTAATCACTTACCTTGGAGAAAGCAAAAATCTAAACATAAATTTGGCTGCCTTCAAAAACAAAATGTAGTAACTGTTGGATTGTTCCTAGCACCTCCCCCCACCCCAGTGGCAACATAACAAAACTCAGTCATTTTACTGCTATGTAAACATATGCATGGGCCAAAATACCATGGAACTCTGTGACTTAAAAGGGAAAAGATCAGAGGTGTTTGTGTTAGTGCTTAATGTGGCCAGCTAGGAGACCATCATTACTGCATGATGACATCCAAATGGACAAGGCTATCACGATTTGTCACTGCCTAGCTCTCAGAGCAGACCCAAGCCACAGTGTTTGTTGGAAGTCGAGAGGAGGAACATAGAGGGAGAAGGAGAGCTTTTGAAACCACAACCTGTCTAAGAAGTATTGATAACATCTAACAGCATCCTGCAAAAACAGTTGTTGCCACCAAGGAGTGGGCCGCAAATTGCATTACTGTCCAGAGGGCTGTCTCATTTACTCCCATGCATTATTTCCTTAAGACATTTAGGTTCATTGAAAGCTAAATGAATATCTCTAGACAAGGGCAAGGGATCTGGTTTACATAAATCCTTGTCTGTGGAAAACAAGTTGTATATAACAGCCCTCAAAATATGCTGAAAAGTCATATCTATGCTCTCATTTACTTTAGCAGAATATAAAAATAAGGCAATCATTTGCTTATAATGCAGTCACCGGCATAAATGGTATAAGGCTTTTAAGGAAATGAATAATCAACAATATTAATGATCATAAATATCATCATCATAATAAAAAGAGATTTTACCAGTCCCCCGAGGATGAAGAAGACCATGAAGAGGCGGCCAAGGGTGGTTTTTGCATAAACATCCCCATAACCGACAGTGGACATTGTAACCATTAGTAAATAGACACATTCCCAGTATGTTAGAGGTTGGTTATTTTGGAAATTTTCCCATGGATCCCCTGAGTTCTCCACCTATAATAAAGGGACATGAATAAGACAAGAAAAAAAAATAACTGAATAAACCAGGGTTAGTACAAGCAAGTGGTTTCTTGAATTTTCCTTCCCCCTGAGACTGGCACTTGTCTCTCTGGGCCAAGCTGAGCAAGCCTCCAGTCTTAAGGCAGTAGAGTAATGAAATATATTGTTGGATGATTGAAAAGTAAAGGGATGTGGAGAAGGGAGAAGACATTGTTGGTCCATTTTTCTGCTTACCATTAAAAGTCTGCAAATACTTAACTGATTGTGACCTTGTCCCTGGTCAAGTTTCTATGACACTTAGCTTTGAAAAATTTTTTTCTTTTGCCTTAACCCTGTCTGTGAGCCCCATTATTGTCAAAGTAGACCCAAGCCACGTTCTCTCATTCACTGTGATAACACTGGGTCCTCAGCTAAGACACCTTGCTTGTATTTTCAGTTGCTTTCAAGGATATAACTAACAGTTTTGTACTCTTGGAGACTGACTGCCAATCTTACAGGTGACATATGGATGCAGCAAATGAATAGTACCCCTCAAAGCCAGACCCCATTGTTCGGAAACAATAAGGAATTCTACCATTCAAGCAGAAATGGCTTCATCTGTGGTAACAGTGGGAATTCTTTCCTTTGAATTTGGTCTTCAACACCAAGTTAATCCCAGCAAATAAGCCCTATTTAATTAGTATCACTCTATCTAGTTTCACTCTATCTAGTGATGGTTTACCAGCTATCAAGATCAACACAACCACATTCCAGCTGTAGTGGAGCTCTACTAAAAGTTCCCAGCAACTTTCCTCTTCAGGCACCAAATGAAGCATTTCAATGGTCTTGACAATTTACACCAGGTTTCTAAGTGCACCCTTAAGCTGTCATTTTCTATGGATGATCTTGGTGTCTCCATGTCTATTCTGACCTTTGGTTGAGGAAAACATCACCCTAAGGCCACATATGGACAACAGTTAGAACTTTCAACATTGAAAGGCAGAAAAGATGGGGTCACCATCTCTCCCTCTTCAAATAATTAAGTATATATCCCCAGGAACTAGAGATTTCCCCCTCTAGAATTACCTTCCATTTATTCCATATGTATCTTGTATTTATTTATTTACATGTTGTCTCAGTCAATCAGTTAGTATTATTAAGTGTCCATTATGTTTCAATCACTGAGTTAGGTGCTAGAGATACAGATGGAAAGAATGAAACAATGACTCCCTCAAGGAGTTTACATTCTAAAAGGGAGCCCACCCATACATATTTAAGGAAATATAGAATAATTATAAAGAGAATAAATACAAAGTAATTAAATAGAGAAGTGTTCAAGGAAGGACACTAACAGTTGGAGAGGACCAAGAAAAGTTTCTTGTAGCTCAACTTAAAGGAAGAGAGGGCTTCAGTGTGGTAGAAGGGAGGAGCTAGAATATCTGGATTGAAGATCATCTGAGGGAGTATAATGTCCAAAGAGGCTGGCATGATAGATAGGTTATAGTAAGGTCATAAAGGATTTTAAAGCTAGACAGAAAACTTTATATTTGCTCCTAGAAGCAATAGGGAGCCACCGAAGTTTAATGAATAGGAGAGAATAACATAGATCTGCTCTCAAAGAAAACCTCACACTAGAATGTTAGCTCCTGGAGACAGCTGATAAGTACAATGGATAGGAGCACTGGACTTGGAGTCAGGAAACACCTGAGTTCACATCTAGTCCCAGATACTTACTAGCTGTGTGACCCTGGACAAGTCACTTAACTTCTCTTTGCCTTAGTATCCTCAACTGTAAAATGGGGATACTAACAGCACCTACCTCCAAGTGTGTATCTATATATATACACATATACACATTATGTGCGTGTGTATATATATATATATATGCACATACATACATGCACACACATGTATGTGTGTGTATGTATATATATACATATATATACATATATATATGTATATATATGTATATATATATATATATATATATATATATATATATATATATGTACACATACACTTATTCCTCATAGAAATACTTATTTCCTACCTCTCTTCTTTCCCTTCCCCTCGTGAGGGCAGGTACTTTTTTGTTTTGTTCTGTGTGTGTATTCCCTGTGCCCAGCATAGTGCCCTATACACAGAAGCTGCTTAATAAATGGTTGTTGGATTGGATGATAATATTCCATCCTACCTCTTGCTACTCCCTAGGCAATTAGAAATTGACCCTTAGTTTCTATGACTACTTAGGCACATGTAAATTTGCTGTCTAGAGACTACTTTATTCAAGAGGATGCCCTAATAGATTTGAGTATGGAAAAAGACCCCAAATCTGTCCATCAACTCCAAACTCTAAGCTCTATACTTATATTAAATTCCTTTTTGCCTTACAAAATAATTACAAAAGGGTCAAGCAGTCGGAGGATTAGTAGGGACTTCTACGACCATGATACTGCATGAAGTACTGGGGGAAGCTCAGAGTAAATATGAGGTCCTGGACCTCAAGGAGATATACATGGTCACAGAGACCTACAATACAATAAAAGGCAGGGTGTGGTAAGTGCATGGGAGAGCTACAGTAGGCAAGGAGGCTACCAGAGAATGGGGACATTACTTCCAGTTGGGGGGCATCATGATGGGCAGCATATAAGTAGAGTCTGATCCAAGCCTTGAAAGACAGGTAGAATTGTGACAGGTGGGCAATCAGTCGCAGTGTGTGTGTGTGTAGGGGAAAGAGGGTGGGTAGATAACATAACAAAGTAAAGTATGATTCAAACATCTAGCAGGGATGGGCTGTGATACCAGAACTTGGGGCTTTTTCTTGTTCCTGCCTCACACACTTCATCTCTGAATTCCCTGCATTTTCACCATCTATTCCTCATGCCTCAAATGATCTCCTTCCTTACCTGAGACTCCCAGCTGCCCTGGCTTTCTTCATGGATCTTCTACAGGAGTCTTCCCAACAGCTAGTGCCTTTCCCCATGAGACTACCTTCCATTTCCACTGTATATATTTTGTATGTGCATAATTCTTTGTTCAGTTGTTGACCTCTCCTTCATTGGAATGTGACCTCCTTGAGTGTGGGGAGCCTGTTTTTTCCCTTTCTTTCTATCTCCAATGATTAGCACAATGCCTGGCACACACTTAATAAATGCTTGCTGATGAACTGATTGAAAGAATTAGCCTTAGGAGGAGGGTCAGAATCTCACTCCACATTGGGAACACTCTATAGATTTCTACTTAAACACACACACACACACACACACGCTATTCTGAAACACAAAATAACTGGGCTGGACATCAGTCAGGAGAAGCAAAACTGCCTTTTTCTCAAAGGGGAAATAGAGAAAAATGGAGGGAGCCCAAATTGTCGTTTTCTGAAAGATGACATTCAAACTTGGCAGATTTTCCATCTTTTCCAAAGGCTACTTTCCCAGGTGTTTAGTGAAGAGCTACTGCCATCTTGTGGCCAAACTCTGTTCCTGCAGCTATTCGCTCAAAACGCACTTCACTATTGCTGAACCTAAAAAAAACCGAGGTTAATGACAAGAGCATTACTTACCATTTGGAAGTAGTTTGGAGTAGAAGGTTGGAAAATAGGGCAGCTGGGCTATTGCTTTTTTTTCTCCTTCTCTCTGTATTCAACGGCCCCACCAAGGTTATATTTTAGGCTAAGCAATTTGGGGTAATACATTTGGGGATGGGGACTGACCCACGAAAGCCACCACGAGAATGTGTCTTCTTGGGTACTTACCAAATGTATGAACCCAGCTGCTGTCAGCCATGTGCTGATAAATATGGAGAGCAGATTCACCAGCTTGATAGAATTACTGTACAAACCAAAACACAAAGACAGAGCTATTACAAAGAGAAGCTGGCACTGGGCTGGACTGTTAGTAGTTCTCACAAGCAGCCTCTGCCATGACTATAAAGCAAGTCCCCTGCCAACTCTTCCACTGACTGACCCTTTCACAGTCCTGGGGAGAGAGGAAGGAAGAGAAGCTTTGAGTTCCGAAAACCAGAGAAACAATTGGGCAAGAAACTCTAGTAGAGGAATTTGAAACTTGGTGATGGCACTGCTTAATTCCATCAGATTTCCCTTTTTGTTTGTTCCTAATGCTGCCATCTTCCTCTAGCCCATCATCTCATCACTTGGTATGATTGTAGTAGCTTCTTACTGCCATTGTGCTCTTCCTTAAAATCATTATTTTATAGTAATCAATGGCATAGTGAATAGAGTCAGGCTTGTAGTTATAAAGTCCTGGTTTCAAATCCCATCTCTGACACTGAGTAATTCTGTGGCCCTGAGTGAGTTGCTTAACCTCTGTAGGCTTCAAGCAACTACCTAGGACCTCATAGATGGATTGCAATCTAAGTTGGTGCAAAGAGTTCCCATACCAGGAGTTCTCTATCCTGATGAAATTGCAGATCTTTCCTACTCCTTTTTATTGGGTCACTTCCCAATTCAGAATCTTTCACTGGCTCCCCAGAACAAAGTTCAAACTATTCAAATGGGCTACTCAACTATCTGACCAAAATCAGCATCATCTCTCATTAATATTGGATGTGAACTGCCTGTTGTAGACAAACAGTTCTACTCCCTATAACCTGAATATACTATATGCTCCCCTCCATCTGTGATGTATGCTAGGGCCTTCTGCAATACTATTCTCACCTCCTTTCTGCTTCTGAGAGAGCCACCCACAGTTTTTCTAGCCTAAAGTGACCTATCTGTTCTGTGAATTAACTTATTTTCTAAAGTACTCATTTGGTAATTAATCACAAGTTGCCTTGCGACATGTTGATTTTCTGGTCATATTGTTGTCATTCAGTTGTTCAGTCATGTCCAACTCTCTGTGACCTCATGGACTTTCTCCATGGGATTTTCTTGGCAAAGATACATGGTTTGCCATTTCTTTCTCCAGTATGCCAGGAAGATAAGTCTTCCTCTACTTAGCTGTCCTTTCTATTCTTATTTATCTCCTGTGTTGTTAATTCAACTTTTCATGTGTCTCTCTAACTAGATTGCAAACTCCTTGAGGGAAGGAGGTATTTTAGAGCTTTATGCCTCTCCCACAGTGCATATCCCATATAAGGATAGAGAGTAGGCCTGTAGTTCCTTTGGGTTAGGAGACTCCTGGGTTAGGAAACTCCCTCTATCAATGAAGGTTGGCACCCTCTGACCAACATAAAATCTCACAGTGTTGCCTAGAACATGAAAAAGTCACTAGAATTAGTTGCCTAGAACTTTAAGAATCTCAAGGTCATAAAGGGTGGTCAAAGGAGTAACTTGAACCTAGATATTGCTGGCTTGGAAACTAGCTTTCTACCCATCCCACTGAGCTGTCTCTTTACCTAATATACTATAATATATCAATTAACTCATCTGTCTCACTGTTCTAATCTCTTGGATGCATTTGCTTGATTGCAGCTCCTGCATACAACCCCTGGGGCAGTTAAGTGGCATGGTGCAGAACTGTCAACATGCAGCCCACAAGCCACATGTGGCCACAACACTTCCAAGCATGGCCCAAACTGATTGGATATTTTAAATAATTTAAATTTAAATATTTTAAATAATATTTTTTTAAATAGAGAAAAATACAATAAAACATAGGTAATAATAATAATAATACGTGATTTTCCAAGTCAATATGTGTCCTGCAGAGATCTTCACAAATGGTTAAGTGGCCCTATTTCCATTTCAGCTTAACACCACTGGTGCAGTGGATAGACTTCTAGACTTGGAGTGGGGAAGACCTGAGTTCAAATCCTAGCTAAGACACCCTCTGGTTACACAATCACTTACATTTTTCAGTCTGTTTCCTCCTTTTTTAAAATGAGAATAATAACATCTATCTGCCAAGGTTGTTATGAGGATCAAAAGGGATAATATATGTAAATTACACTGTGAAACTTATAGCACTGTGTAAATGCTCATTATTATCATAACCATAAAGAAATTAAAACTTGGATGTTCCTATGAATGTCAACCAAAAGGACATCTAGATGCCAAGTGAAAGATACAGCATCCTGGATGAATTTGGTAAAGACAAAAAGGGCTGGAATGTATCACCTCAAGAATGAGAAAAAGAAAGCCCCTGAAACATTTACCTCTTAGATCCAATAGAGTAGAGAACAGGGAAGGACATCTCATTGGTAGACAGATCTGTTCATGGGATCATTCTGTTCTGGAAAATATGATGAGAACTAATGCTCTAAAAAGGACTGACCACTGGGCAAGCAGGTGAGATGTTGCAGGGTGCTCACCTGTATAGCTCCAGGCTCATGAATGAGCAAAGAAACCTTAGGAGTAGGACCCCTTTTTAGTCTCTGCTCAATCACAGAAGAGCAGAAACAATAACAATTAAATACCACCAAGGTAGAGAGAGCTTGGTGTTCTTAGTCAGATGTTGAACCAGCTTCACTCTAAAATGGGCTTCCGGCTGTAAAAGTTCAGAAGCAAAGGTATTTCCCAAGGACATCCCAAGGCTGCCACCAACAATACTTGGATCCAAAATGGTCCCTTGAGAATTTTCAGTTTCTCAAGGACACAAAACATTTCTTTGGATGTTCTGTCTCCCAAAGCTAAAGTCTGAACCTGCTCCATCTGAGAGAGGGAGCAGAGATCATGCAGTAACTCCTACATGCTTATGCCATAAATACGACGTGTGTATTGGGACTCCAGGTTGATTCCAACCTCAGATCTGGTTTATTTCACCTGCCTATACTAGACATGGCATAACAGGGAAACAGTCCTGCCACCATCCCTGGCTAGTTTCCATAGGGGTGACTGGATACAGCCATGCTGACAAGGAGGTGACTTCTTTTTTCTTCTTATTTCATACTCTCCTATATCCAGACTCTTGGCTACCCATGACACTGGAGTAGCTGGAAAACCTCACAGGCCCACTAGAGAAATCAGGTCATTGATAATCCTGTTATCAACGGAAAATTCCAGTCTTGATCTTGGCTTTTAGGCTTGGAAGAAGGAGGGAGACCGGGAAGGAGAGGTGGCAGAGTGCTTTGCAAGGGTGGGGGTAGTTGGGGAGGGTGGATTCCAATTTTCACTGATATTTCTTTGGAATTGGAAAGTAAGGAACAGACCAGGAGGAAGTAGCTTAAAAAACAAGGCAGAGAAACAGGGAAGTGAGGTGCTGAACAACCTTCCTTTTTTTAGAGGCTGTATTGGACGCCACTAAATTTTTTCCTCAGTTCATTCATTGATAGCAGTCATAGATCCATGAAGACTAACTGTAACCAAAGGCATTTTTTTTGAGGCAATGGGGTTAAGTGACTTGCCCAGGGTCACACAGCCAGTGAGTGTTATGTGTCTGAGGTTGGATTTGAACTCAGGTTCTCCTGACTCCAAGGCTGGAGCTCTATCCACGGTGCCACCTAGCTGCCCCAGCCAAAGGCATTTTCCAAGGGCATTTTGATGGTGCCACCAAAATCACCTGGATCCACAATGGTCCTTGGGAACAGCACCTACCTTACAGGGTTGTTGTCAGGTTCAAATGAAATGTTTTGTGTAAAATACTTTAAACCTCAAAGCAATATGCAGATATTTGCTATTATTAGAATTGAATTATTATTATAATTATTAGAAAAGGCTACTTATGACCTCATTTTATAGATAATGATACTGAGACATACAGAAGGGTTAAGAAACTTCTCCAAGGACAATCAGGTAGTAATTAGTAGAGCCCAGATTTGAACCTGGATTCCCTGACTGTGAATCCAGAACCCTTTCAATCAGACCACACAATAAACGGCTGCCTTGGTGGTTTGAAGAAATAATCCAAATAGAGAGATGATGAGATAATGATGATGACGATGATGATGATGATGATGATGATGATATTTATTGTTGAGTTGTAAAGTTATGTCCAACTCTTTGTGACCCCATGGACCAGACTATTCATGGGGTTTTCTTGGCAAAGATACTAGAGTGGTTTGCCATTTCCTTCTCCAGTGGATTAAGGTAAATAGAGGTTAAATGACTAATCAGTACCTGAGGGTGGGTTTGAACTTAGGTCTTCCTCAGGTTCAAATGCTTCCAGACCCAATGCTCTATCCACTGAGCCATCTAGCTGCCTCCTAATATTAGTAATAGCTAGGATTTAAACACTACTTTAAGGTTTGCAAAGCAATTTACAAAGATTATTTCATTTGATCTTCACAAAATCCCTGGGAAGTGGATGCTATTATTATTCCCATTTTTACAGATAAAGAAATTGAGGCAAACAGCATTAAGTGACTTACCTAGGGTCACAGAGCTAGTAAGTGTCTGTGGCCAGATTTAAACTCAGAAAGATGAATCCTCCTGACTCTAAGCCCAGCACTCTATCCACTGTGCCACCTAGCTACCAAGGAGTGAGGAAGTTCGGACTCCAGAGCAAAACTGCAAAAGGTATATCGTATTGGGGCAGAGGGGGCAATTTTAATTGGTACACAATGTGCCCTGAAACTCCAAATACTTACTGGAAACTAGATCAATCCATGGACTGATGAATGAACAAAATTTAAATCTTTCTTTTTTAGGGATGTGAGTCGGCCCCAAATAGACTCCAATACCTGTTAAATAGATGATGTGGGATTGTACTCTGTATAGCTGAGGTCCAGAATTTTCTTTTTTTGCAGGCAGTAGTCCCTGCCTAGTTTGATGAGTCCCTAGTTTGTTATCCCTAGTTTCCCAAAGTTGCCTTAAAGCTTAGTGTCTCTATTGCTCTATCCTATAGTAGACAGATAGACAGATAGATAGACAGACAGACAGACAGACAGACATAGATAGATAGGTAGATAGATAGATAGATAGATAGATAGATAG